ATTAAAGTTTGGAAAAAAGATATCGATTACCAGGTCTCACCACGATGAAGCGACTACGCGCGAGATCTCCCTCTGGGCCCATCCATAATTCCATCCATCTTCTATTGCATGCAAGTCTCGATATTCATTCTTAAAAAATACCGAGTTCTTATTCTACTTAGCCCAGGATTACATAAAAAGGAGACAGATGTTCCATAGTTGGATTCAAATCTAATGGTTAACTCTAACAATTATACAATCATACAATACAAAAATGCAAATCATACAATATGTCGCAATTATTCGCATAGTAATGATATACTGCCTAACTTGGATCGATATTTCCCAACGTAACAAAGTATGTTCTCGCGTTTGATTCACTATCGCATTTCGAAACGACATCAAGCTAAGAAACCTATAGTCCAGTTTATATTGTGCAAAATTGTTAAACTGGTTTATAGGTTGCGTAGCTTGATATCGTTTAATATTTGGAAAACGATATCAATTACCGGTTCTCGCCACGAGGATATGACGATATAATTCCATCCATCCTCCATTATGTACAATACTCGATATTCAAAAATTTATGTAGAAAAGAATTATGTAGTCAAAATCAAATTAAGCAGTGATCGTCGCTTCTGAATTCAAAGAACAAAAAATATATATTATATGACCATCTTTTCCATTATTGTAAATAAAATAATTTAATTGTTATGAATGAATTATTCAAACTATGAAATAGTGCGTATATATAAGGGAGTTCAATCACTAATTCAATTGTAAGTAAATAGTTAAAATTGTTTAATAACATACAAAAATATTATAGAATTGCATTATTTTATAGTTTGAATAATTCATTTAAAACAATTAAATTATTTTATTTCTATAACATTTCTAAACATCATTTAATATAATTTTCACAATCTTTCTATTACGATTAAACAATTAAATTAATTATTCAATAATTTACATTATTTGTCTTAAATACATTACTGAAGTCGATTGTTATAAATTGTTAGTTAAAATTTAGTAGCGTTGCAGACTCTGCCTAAATCAATATGGTAGAACGTAACATGAAAATGGTAGGGGGTCAGGTGACTCCCAAAACATGGGAAACTAAAAAGCATTGAATGTCCGGTCTATCCTAGTTAGTCAATGATTATACATATCTATAATAAAATATCGTACTTTAAGAACTGTTTCTATGTGTAAGATAACTGTAGTACGTTCTAGGTAGAATCGTACTTCGGCACACCTGTTTCATTCATTGGATTCATATTTAGTTACTTTGTCTACGATCGAAAATATAAGAAGGTTATCGAAAAACTAATTTTGTTAATAAGATATGAGAAGGAAAATGTACTCAAAAAGTGTGAAGTGCAATAAAAACAAATAATTTGGCAGTATTGTTTAATAAATGTTAAATAAAGAAAGACGGATCTATCATGTAAATGAAACAATGCTAATTATACAAAATGACTAATGGAATAAATATTTCTTGAAAGAAATAATGTTGTACTTTCTACTACCTTCCGGGAAGGTAGTATATGAATTTAAAACATTTAAATAAATGTACTATTTCTTAACAATTATATTTTAAACACGACATATATAAATATGGCACAAATACAAACTTCAGGCACGGATGGGCTGCCAAAGCATTTTGTTACCGCTATGCGTACACTTTTTGATATTATGGATGACCAAAATACAGGCTTTGTGAAATTTTCTGATATTGAAGGCAGATGGCAAGACGATGGAACACAAGGTCTTCCAAAAGGTGTTTTAGACAGCCTTAAAAATGTCACTCCACCCAATGGCTTATTGTCTTTTGAAAGATTTTGTACAGGACTCAAGATATGTTTACTACAAATTCAAACGGATAGTGATACAAAGAAACACGATGGTCAACCAAATAGACCACCATCTGCTCCAATACTTATACCTGACAATCAAAATAAAACAACATGGACATCCCCGAATACAGCAACTATTAGGCCAAATAATGCTATATCTCAGCAGCGTACTTTAAGCATGCCACAGTTATTACCAGGTCGAAAGGATGTAAATCATACACACTTAGAATTAATGGATGGTACGCCTAGAAGTGGGCCTGAATTGAAACTAAATAAGGCGTATGGACCCCCAAAACCTCCACGTATGGGTGTTGCATTAGACACTAGGACTGTTAATTCAGATAGAAATTTTGACAAATCTGAAATTCGAACTGTATTGCAAAATTGGCAGATGGGTTTATTAATGAATGATGATAAAGCTATAGAAAAAAGACAATTGCCAGCAGTGAATTACAGATCTGATACTAGAACGTTATTAAGACCAGCTAGAATATTAGGAGATGGTAAAGCAGTTGAATTACAAAATAGTAATCAAGTTGGCTTACAGCCAAAGAAAGTATTAAGTAGGCGTAGAGAACCTAGGCGTCACACGTTGCAGAATGGTATTGATTATAATATGGTAAAGATATTCTTTTCTAGGATTCCCAACTAACGATTGGTGATTGGTTTTGGGTATGCATGAAATTTAGTAATTATTAACATGTAGATAATGATACAGTTTATATTAAATACTCAGCTTGGTATTATAATAAATTTATATTACACTCTAATAGAATGCATAGTTGGGAAGCCTGTTCCTTAATTTTTAATAGTAATACTCATTTGTTAATTCTTCTTTTTAGATGAAAAGAATGAAACAAATTGAACAGGAGAAAGACGTATTACTTCAAGGTCTTGCTGCAGTCGATAAAGCCAGAGAATGGTATTTGAAACAAATCTCTTCTACTCAGGAAAAAATCAAACATCTTGGACGTATGGGATCTCATGTGGTATGAAATATTTTTTCCAACTTTATAAAATTAACTGAAATATGTACCAACATATGTATCCTTATTTAGGAACAATGGACAGAAGCACAACAAGAACGTTTAGAATTACAACGTGCTCGAGTTTTAGAAGTTAACAGACATTTAGCTGCATTAATAAGTAGTTGGGAACGTGGTGGACTTCCCCTTCACATGAATCTTGCTTTCCTTAGTACTCCTACATCCACTCAACTTCAACAAGATATTTTGTCTAGGTTAAAACAACAAAATCATAGATTAACAGAGGTAAATTAAATAAATATATATATGCATATAATTAATGATACAAGTTAATTCGTTTATGTTAATTAAACATCAGGAAGTCAGTAAAAAAAGCCAGCGGATAGCAATACTTGAACAAGAAAAGGACAACTTGATTCGAGAATTGTATAATAGACAAAGTGGTATGGTTCAATCTAGAAGAGCAACAATGATACATGAACAACATGATCAAACATTCATGTAAGGTACTAACAGTTGTTACTTAATACTTATGATATATAACATAAAATTATATTTTACATAAATATTGCTGTTTTAGAATATAAATAATCAAGGTTTGTCTTTAATGACATAATGAAAATCTTGGATATACATATATTACGAAAACTAATTGAGATCATTATTATATTTAAACTTTAATTATATGCGTTGAAATATTTTAAATATTTCTGTGAAACATAAAATATTTTTGTAAAATATTTACAATACTAATATTTAAATGTACTTATACATTATAAATGACGTCTTAAAATTTTTATAATCCGTCGAAGAATTGAACGAGAGATTATATTCTTTTCTAATAAATTATTATTGTAATTAATAAACTGCCTTGACTTAATTTTATATTACGATATTGTAATCTCAGTTTAATCATAAAATTGAATAAGTTCCTATTACATTTTTGACACTAATTATCCTTATTTTATAAACAAATATTCCAAAAATTAAAGAAACAAAATGTACACATCTCACAGTGTAAACGACATTTACTTCCGGAATTATGACTGTGCGTGTCAAATGTTATCGAACTTTAAAATGCGATAATATATTTCCCCAACCACCCAACATTACTATTCAAAAATGAAGTAACAAACCACATTTCATATAATATTCTTGCAGTGTAAGAAAAACCAGATGAATATTAATCTAAAAAATTAATTTCCATTTACATTTTATTTTAAATATAAAAGAAATTTCGATTACTTATACAAAAGTAGAGGTAGAAAGTAATAATTTTTTCTGTCGGCCACGTGGTCTATTTGGAAACACCAGATGGATTGGTATCGTATGGATGGGATCATATAACAGATTGGAGCTAATCCCAAGGAATATAATGTTTCGTAAGTTTTGAGCTATCCTAGCCCGAGGAAACCATCTCAAGATTCTATCATTGTTTGAAATAATATAAAAATTCATAAGTAAACAATGTTAATAGTAAAATTTTTATAAAATTACCAAGTTTAAAATTAACTGAACAAACATCATTGATATAAAAAATTCACGTCACAGTATACATGTAAGTTTATTAGAAATACATTATTGTGTAGTCAACAGTTGATTTTACACCCCACGCATGGCTCTTTAGTCTAGCATAGCCTGGTGGGTGTACTAGCTAAGCGCGTTGGGCCGCATTTTGTTAATAGTCGTAAAGAGGCAGTTGCCTTCAGCTGTCTGATGTAGGCTGTTCAGTCCGATTGACGCGTTCAACGAGTATAGATGCTAGCTGACACAAGGAACGTTGCACCGGAGCACGAATTTTATCCTCGCGATAGTGAATGTGTAAAGAGCCCCCTTTTGACGAGCGACCTTTAACCCCACCGAGTTCAAATAATAGCCTAGCTGCAGGCGCTGGTCGTCGATCTCTGTCTTCTGACATCTACAATTATCTGGATTATCGTTATCGGAACAGCTCTCCCCCCGGATTTTGTGTGAGCTTCAGGTCCATCATGCTACCAAGACTGGTACTACCAATAATTCTGCTACTCGTTATTATAGGTATGAACACGTTACTTGCGTTTCATACGTTCCCCTAATGTAACACAATATAGAATACGATAGAAAATACTTTGTGAAAACGTGAAAACGTGACATGTCACTTCATAAAGAATATCATTTTTGATCTTTCTTCTTTAAATCATCAGAAGTTTTACAGTGATAATATACCATATGAATTGCGTTATCGTAAGCGAAATATTGATTTCTCGATCTTCTCGTTTACTCTCATTATATTTTAATCAGCACATTAGCACATTAGCTTTCTTCCATGCATGTCCTCCATTAATTGCATAGAGATGCTCTTAAACGATACAAATTAGATAATTTCGAAATTTAGAAAACGGTGAAGATTTTATTTGAAGATGGTGGAGAAATCATTTTATGATACTGTTTATAATTAGCTAACTCTTAAACGACGCTGATTTAAACGGTAGTAATTCGCTTAAAATGAAATAAATGCAACTGTACCATTCCAAAGAGATCTCGGTTCATTCACCGAGTAGACAGATAATGTATCGCGATAATGAAGCGTACTTTCAATGATGCACATTCCGCGCCTGCTCTTGAATATACCTTGCGAAATATATGTATTTAGAAATAAAAAGTCGTTCTTTTCTGCACAAATAAAAATGAATACGTTAGACAACAGTTCAGCTAGAGAAGAAAATAATTTAGTAATTTAAGTTTCATACCCGAAAATCAATTAACACCCGCGGAGACATGCTTTATCTCGTCGAATGTTTATCAATTTAGGTAAGTGGGAAGTGCAGTGGACACATCCGGTACAAATAGCCTCTGACAGCATATTTTTTCATAACATTATCTTTTCCAGAATAAATAAACTGCAGATATATTCACTACAAATAGAGAATATTATGGGAAACTTAATGATTTATAACATTTACTGCTTGAATATTTATCACTTTTTTTTGGCGATGTAAAATTAATCTCATCACCAATAAATTCCCTCCTATATCGAAATATATGTAAATCCATTTAATTTCATAAAATTTTAATCTATTAAGAGTTACATAATATCGACTTCATATAGACTCTTATTTATCCTTTACTGATAGAGTTGGTGTTCTTTTACACTACTATCATTTAATCCGATGAACGATTTATGTTTTGTTTTTCATGCTGCCTTCTTGAATGAAAAAAGGAATCAAAAAATTGATTATTTCGTAATTTTATCGTAATTTAAACGATATATTGATATCTCTGAAAATAATACAATAAATTACAAATTTAAATAAAAAAATTTAATTAAATCGTATGCCATGTTATATTGTTACATATATTTATTGAATATTTTTGATTTTGATTGCAATAATAGGTACGTTATCAAAAGCTTGTGATTTGGATCAAATGCAATATGGATGTCGTATCTATAATGCTCAATGCAGATGCGGTTACGGTTGTTCCTCCGAATATAGATATAGTACTAACGATGATTGCAAAGAAGCGTTAAGAGGTAACAACTTACCTGCCAATCTCACAAAACTATTCAGAAAATTGTATTAAATATCACTATGAAATTTGTTCATGGATACTCAGACGAATATAAATATTCAATATTAATACCGAGAGAATTTGAATGACTGCTCTTTATTATTATGTGATTATCCTTTCAGGTAGACGTAGCGATATATGTTATAGATCGAAACCTTGTTTAAATGGGGGATCATGCTTGCAAATATCATCAGATCCTGGATTTAAATGTCGCTGCGAAGGAACTGGTTATTACGGGCCACACTGTGATAAACGTTAGTAATCATCCCCGATAAATAATAATTACGATCATAAATTTTCCGGACATTTGACCAATTAATTGGTAACTGTTCAATTTGTCATATAATCTGCTTAATTTCCAACTATTTGATACTTGTGTGATTGTACAATAAAAAATTATTGATACAAAAGTTGATTCAACGAGTCTAGTCTAATAATAGAAAATATAATTATAAAAAAGAATCTTTCTCAATAAAATAATGTGTTTTGCAGCTTGCCCAGGACCAAATAATCAACGTTTCCGGGGACCGTTTCCTTACGAATGTGTTGTGATTTAATTTGTAATTTTGCCTTCTTTTAATCTATCAAAAATCAAATACATCCAGTATGTTAAGTACAAAAAATAAACATATTTTGCGAAAATTTACACATCTTTGTACATACATAATAAATATATTGTATATACGGTAATCGTTTTATTACTAGAAATATTTTAAAAAATTATTAAAAATAATACTTATTAAAGAAATGATAATCTATAAAAATCTCAATTATTTCTTATTCAAATCTTCGAGATTCATAGAAAAGAGATGTATGTGATATTTTCATTGTTTATTCATCAATAATTTTACAATATGTATGCACATGATGTGTTGGATCCATGAGTTTTCAACAAACGTTCAGTTTGTATCGTGCTTGCGTTAATGCAAGTTGTTATTTTACTCCTTTCCTATTTTCTACATAATGCCACATGTACCTCGCTTGTTGTTTCTGATGGCAAAACTTATAAAATGCAATTTTTTTACTCTCATAAGTACTTTTTGTAATTTTTTGTATTATATGTCGACTGAATCCATAATACTAGTTTGATTTTATAACACGAGACTGCATCAGGAACTTAACGACATGTATATATATTTATATGTTATATATTATCTAGGACAAACAATTGGCCAGTTGTAACTTTTTTACAAATTCATAGACATTTTCTCTTCAACAGAGTAACACGTTACAATAATTTATATAGTAGAACACATGTCTGCTTCTTCGACTACAAAATTATGTAAATTCACAAATTTTAGCAAATAATAATACGAATGCATTTTCTTCATTTTTTTCTTTTTCTTTTTGATTATATGGCCAATTAATATTTTATCATATATGCTGTATTGCATATGACTTCGTTTTCGACTATTATACAATATTTTAATTGATCGCAATATATACGGGTAAAACAAATATTCTAAAGAAAATAATATAAATAAAGATTTTATCAACATGTACGTATATTTTTATAAAGATAGACGGGACATTATCTTTGAACATTACAAACAGGCAGGTTGTCAAACAGTTCAATGTTAAATTACTTTCCAATCTATAATTGTATCAATAATAAACTGAATGGAGGAGATATTTTAAAAATTTTTATTGAAAAGAAAATTAAAAGTTTCAATAATATCTTGTAACTATTGTTCATAATTATAAAAGTCTATTACATTCTTTAAAAAAAAAAAAATTTCAGTAAATTGTTTAAAGTAATTGAAATAGTTCGGACAAACTGCCTTCCTGATTATTTTCATACTTTATAAGATGATAAAATGACTCGTTGTTTTTTTATTTTATATTCTTTTCTCAACAAGATCATGATCCAATCGATTATTATCAATATTATTGTTGTCACATTAGTCTCAATTTGGCAAATGTTTATGATGCTTATAATAATAATAATCTCGGTACCGAAGTGTATGGACTAAAAACAAGTAATGTAGATTACAATTTGGATAAGCAATAATCCTTTTCAATACGACATTACTCTTGAATGGCACCAGGGGTATGCTGGGATCTTTCCTGACTAAATCCACGCGTGCCGTCTGGCCCTCTTGGCTGTCTAACTATTGTTAATTTAGGACCTGTGTCTTCCAAAGATGTAGTACGTAATCGACTGATCAGACGTTCGGGTCGTTGTTGAACTGCATCACTGCGTAAAGAAAATAAAATAATTTATCAAGACATTAATGGTAAAAAAAAAAAATATTTAAATACGATAACAATGTAAAAAATTCACCTTAATCGTGTTACATTGCATGCAGATGATTTACCAGTACGCTGATTCGTAATCAAAACGAATTCAACCTGATCTCCTGGTTGAAGTATTGCATGATCTCGAACTTCACTCATGTGGAAAAATAACTTCTTACCCTCATCAACTTCATAAGTAAGAAAACCGAAAGGGCCTTTCACTGCATCGACTGTTGCTCTCCTCTTTTTCCTAACTGCTACGATATTACAAGCGTGACCTGTCGAATCCACTTGTAATTGTACAGGATCACCAGCTTGTAACAGTTCGCGTTTATTGACAAGTCCCATAATTCTGAATTCATATTCCGGAGTATCTTCCTCTTCGTTAGTAGCATTTATCTTTATTAAACCAGCATACTCTGCCTGGTCAGGATTTGCACTTCGTAAAGGTCTAATAACCGTTCCATCAAGTACTTCGCTAACTGGTGTTGGCCTAGGAATGCTTCCACGAGGTACCAATTTGACATAATCCGCGGCTACGCAACCACCATTACCTCTACCATTTCCAGAACTGATCATACATTCAATGTCAGCTCCTACTTCCAAAGCATTAACATCCCCTTCAAAATTGCTAAAAAAAATATATAAATATTTTCGTAAAAAGGAAGCAAAGAATACTTTCAAACATATTTTAATTCTGTACCTGAAGTGAAAAAATATTTCTTTATCATGATTTACAGTCTCAATAAAACCAAATCCATCTTTAAGTGCAGCAATGAAACCTTGACAAATTTGACCATTTAATTTTTTGTTGCCGTTTTGAGTTTTTTCACCAGAAGAATTCACTAGAGATATGTCAACTGCAACAAGTTCCTTATTTCGTTTTACTTGACAGATACTAAATTGAACCTGAAACACTAATACTTTAAAAAAAATTTATCAATAAAATCATAATATTATATATTCATATTAATATACCTTGTCGCCAAGTCTTGGGATATTTTTAGGATCGCAATCTTTACTAAAGAAAATAACGCTCTTTTGTTGATATTCTTTTGTATATCCAATAAGACCAGGCACAACGCCATTTATACCCTGAATTATAGTACCCAATAAATCTTTTTCTATAATTGTTTCAAATTGAACTGTACCGGCTGGTAAATGCTTCAACCTAATTGCACTTTGTCGATTATTTGAAAATGAAGAGGAAGGATCCTAATATAAAAAAAATAATAAATTATAAAATATATTTAAGAAACTAAAACAATTTAAAATTATATAAGTTATTCTCACTTGAATTACTGTGAATTCGACTTCATCTCCTACGCTAATTTCTCTATCAACATCCAAAACTTCATTAAAATGAAAAAAAAGCCGTGGGTCTCGATCTACGCAACGAATAAAACCAAATCCATCTTTGAGTGCAGCTATAATGCCTTGTTCTCGTCTTTCACCAGATACAGTAAAAGATTCAGGTAACAATAAAATTTCAGTAGCTCTTTTGAGTTGATCTCTAGTATCTGTAGCAATACGAAATTGGACCCAGTCCCCATGTCTAAAAACATAAAGTTGTAATTACTTCAATGAAAAATGAAAAATAAAAGTATTCTATAAGTATACAGTAGTAGAACTTCGTTTATATGAACTTATCGGGAGATAATTTATGTAATCGAAATTCATAAATAGGAGTTCGTATTAAAGGAATTCACATATTCTCCGCTTTAGTAGTTTTTCCTTCTCATAATACGAGTTCAGATTCAAATAAGTGAATTCAATCAGCAAGAGTTCATTTAATTGGATACTGATCAAAATTTGATTCAAATAAATGAAATTCTATTATACCTGAGAGTAAAATCTCCTTTTTGATCCTTATCACCAAAAGGAATCTCAACTTCAGAATGATCTTCAGAATCTCTATATCGAATTCTTCCAGGCAAGGGATCATTTTGATGGCGCGCTGCAGTACCCCTTTCCAGAGGTTTCAATACTTGTCCCTTTACTATTTCATTGCTAACTTCTTCAAAAACTATTGAACCAGGTGGTAGCTTCGTAATATTACAAGCTACTTCTTTTCCCTTAAAATATTAACAATGGTTAAATTTATACCGGTGAAAAAATTATTATTTATATAAAATTTAAAAAACAAATGTATACATTTCGTGTTTGTATTATAAATTCAACATCATCTCCTAGTCTAAGTTCTTCTTTCATAGACTTAGCTTCGCTAAAGTGAAAGAAAATTTCTTTAACTACGTCAGCACGTTCAATAAAGCCGAAATTTTCTTTCATCGAGCATACAACTCCACGATAACGGACTGGATGTACTGGATTTTCCAGCCTTACGTGACATGCACCTAAATTTCCGCTGTAATTAACGGTAATGAATTAATTCTGTATTTTGTCACAATTTGAAATGATGATAAAATCATAAAATTTTACAACAAATAAATTATTTACCGTTGATTAGTAGCAATTTGAAATGACACTTTATCACCAGCACGCAAAACAACATTTCCTTCAACATCATCTTTTGTATATGGCAGAAAAAAACATTCACCACGATTTTCGTAACTGATACGTCCTTGTGTATCGCCACTTGTATGTAATTCTGTTGTTACATTTCCAGTAACTCTTTCTTCACTTAGCACCTATATACATTTTTATATTTCATTATTTTTTGTACATTTAGATTTAATATTTTATACAGTATATTAACAACATACTAACCACTTCTGGAGCAATCTTACTAACAGTACTAGCAATAGGTTTGCCTGTCCTTCGATCATACGTCATTTCAAATTCAACAGGATCTCCAATTTTTAAGTGTTCTATATTACCACTAAATTGGCTAAAATGAAAGAACAACCTTGCTTGTCTTTCACAGCACTGTATAAATCCATATGAATGCTAGAAGGAAATGATAATATTGCAGTTATCATATAGTGAAATACTAATACTAATATAAATACTAATATAAATTTAATATAGTGAATTTTAATAAAGTAAATATTAAAATTCTTACTAATAATTTTTCAATTATTCCAGTTTCTCGAGTTCCTTGGTTTTCAGATTGATCTTGATAAGTGGAGTTATTTGTTGTTGGTTCTTCTGTATAGCCAGTGCTTCCTTCCATTCCTGTAAATGTTCCAAAAGGAAATCTGGTAACTTCGTTACGTGACATTTTAGTGTTGGGATAGCCAGCATATTGTATAGAATTTTTTCCATTTCCAGGAGGTGAATCCATCATATAATGATCACCACTATAATTGGTACCATTTCTGTAGATATTAGTTGTTGCTTGATGTGATCCCGTTATAACTTTGGGACTTGGTATAGTCATAGACTTGTAATCAAGTATTGCAGGGTCAGAGTTCATGATTGGCGGCTGGAACGTTTTCCACTGAGGATTGTTGGACATTGTCTCGAATTTGCAGAATTTTAAATGTAATCTTTACGTATAAATTTTCCTCTTTCTTGAAACAATTACTTAATTTCTTTTATGTTCACTTCTGTTTCACCACAATATATATTTATATATATATACTTATATTTAGAAATTTTTAGTCTTTTCAATTATTTAAGTGTTAACATAGATATCACAGAACGGTTCTTGGTACCTTATATCTTCATTCACTATTATAATGTTACAAGAACTTAATACAGAGGAAGAGAGGCTCTTTAAAATGCTGCAGAAATGCAGGCTCCTTTGTGACCAAGAAGTGGAAGGAAGGGTTTGAAAGTATTTTGACGTTTGTCATAAATTATTTATAAGAGAGTACCCAGACAACTCTGCGCAAAATTGGCACTCTTTAAATACAAATACAAGTGTTTTATTAATCAAGAGCAGCACAATCTCAGCCGCAATCACAATCACGGTCACTTTATAGCTCACCTAACTCTTTCTCGCAAAGCTTGTGTACACAATATACAAATGAACAATATAGTTAATGTTGTTTTACGAATTAATACAAGTACAAAATTCTTAGCACGTCATAGACCATTGATACTTTCCATATACGTATGCACGTGTTATAACAACTGTTTGATATTTACTCAATTTAGCATACACTAGAACAACTGTGTTCCTTTTAAACAACAGTCATCCTTTATAAAAGGAGTAAATCAAAAAACATAGGAGATTTAAAAGATAATTGTTGACTTGAAAATCCTCAGATGTCTTCAATGCGTGCTGAGTGTGATTGTGTTGTTCCAATATTTCTATGTTAGCGTTTCTTTCTTCAGCATTTAATTATGGAATTTACAGTGAGCCTTGGTTTCAAAAATGTCCTAAACTAACAATTACACAAGCTGAAATAAAGAAAAGACATATATTCAATTAACACAATTAATGTAGATTTAGAAAAATAATAATACATTATTATATTGATTATGAGCTTTATGAAAGCAATAATAAGCAAGTATTTTTCTCTTAAATTGTCTGATAATCGATATATTAACTTAGATGATTAAATATCTAAATAAAATATTATTATATTCGTAGTCATAAATTATTTTGTAAGCATATTAGAATGAAAAAAATTATTTATTTCTTTTTATGATTTAAATCTTTATAAAGTTTCATGATTAATATAATTTTATTATTACTTATCAGTACAGATCTCAACTAAATTTAAACAAACTTTTAGCAGAGATAAAACAACCAATATCTCATCTGTGCATATAGGTTATTATATATTTTTGCTCTCGTATCGTAGTAATTCAGCACCGTAGAATATATTTATTGTGTTCTATTTACGGTTACATACAAGACAAACAAGATATTCACAATAATTGACTGACAATTTGACATTGACTTCTCATGCTTCAACCAGTCTTTTCTTTTCAATGCTTTGCATTTATTTCTCGAAATTTTATTCATATCCAAGTCCCATTCATCAATATCATGCGGTCGAAATTTCATTGCCGTAAGTTTATTATTCAAATTATAATTCTCGAAGTTTGCTTGAAATGGGATTGCAATACTTGGACACCCACATGAAAATGTTTGAAATATATGTAAGATTACAAGTATTACAAGTTTCTCTAAATGTAAATAAACAGATATATCGTTTAACCGAATTTATTGTAACGTAATTTCGAATTTAACATAATCGTAACTCTCAAAGAATGTGTCCAAACAAATATTTGAAATATTGTACATGCTCGCCAGTTACGAGATTCTAATTTTTTATGAGGTCACTCGTTTCTTTCGATATCGTAAAGATTTACCAAGGTCCCATACGTTTATAAAATATGAATAGAACTGTCAGGGAGCAAGTAATTCTGCTAATTGGGAATGTTTCATTGCAAAGCTCGTAATCAAATAGGTTTAAAAAGATTTATAAAACTCACCACGACACAGCACAGCACTGACGACATGCCGCCATGTTGAATGTCAACATTCAGTATTCACATACAAAACAGGAGCAATTACAGAGTGACCACAATTAAAAATTTCGGTTCATAGCCGTCTGGTAATATTACTACAAAAACAACTATCCGCTTGTCCTACTAGCCGTGGAAAACCATAAATCTATATTTAAAAACTAATAAATTTAATAAAGAATAAATAATTGGTTGACACACATGAAAATGAAAGTGTGTTCTCAACATAACGTTTTTGAGTTATGTCCAGCGAACATTTAAACCAATGATATTAAAGTACGTTCGAAAAACTTCAATAATTTATTAATTTCCGAAGTTATCGGAGAAACAAACATTTCATACATAAGAAAATTTCGCTGTTTAATGACAAAATTTCAGTATTGATAAAATAAACTGATACAGCAGTTAAGACTTACAACATGTATATATACAGATCTTTTATTCATATATTTATTTTTGAAGTACTTATCCATACTACACAAAGTAACTATTTATTTATAATTTACAAATAAAATTTATTTTAATATAATAATATTAAAAATATTCTTGCACATATTATTAAATATTAAGTTTTTGTGAAGTTTCTCCGTTTGATGTCCTGGAATATGTACCAAAGTGATTTAATTGATGCCAGTGTAAGTCTTCAGATTCTGGTGTTGATGGAGCTGTTGCACATTCTAAGCTTAATTGGAGAGCCCTTCTTAAATCATCATCCTCATCTGTATCGTCAGTCCCAGATGTTTTTTTATTGTAATCGTGAAAATCCAAACTTAATTTAAGATACTTATCTACATCATTCCTTTTATTCTCTTCAAAACTTAATTGAAGTGCTCTTTGCAATTCTGCATTTTCATCATCATCTTCATCACTTTTCTCAACCTTTATAGGAATTATCTTCTCTTGCAGTTTGTTTGTTGGTAGCTTTTCTTTACTTGATAAAGTTCTAGTAAACGTATTTGATATTACATTGTTACTTACACCTGTCAAAACAAAAAATGCTGAATATATTGTTTACTGTAAATTAATACAACTTTTTCTATGAGGAGTGTTTAGAAATTCACTTTCTTCCTAGATAATAACCTTTTGATTTATTCCTTAATGATGTTTGCCCTTTTGATATAGGTTCTATTGGATTTTTCATAAGAATATCATCTGCAGTACATTGTGGAAGTGCACCAATAACAATAAAAATAGAATAACCTACGAAGATATATAATTACCTACGAAGATAAAAAATATTTGTGATTAAGATGTTTACCTTCTTGTAACAACTGGGCTAAATACATTGAAAGATAAGTATCTGATATAAGCTCTGGCCCACTTAGTACTGAATTTAAGTTAAACCATTGTTTTCCAATTTTCCTTATGGTGAACCAATGACCTTTGTAGTTACAAATATATGCTTTCATCTGTCTAAAAATGATACGCATCACTTTTGAAATTATATGTGTAACAAAGTGTAATTGTAAATTTCTGTATATAATTCATGCATAAAATAATTTTATCTATTCTACATACATAATATATATACACTTTTTTTGTTCATGGTAGTACAAAATAATTACACTTCGTAAATATCTTTAAACTATTTTAAATGAATCAGAAACAATTAAATAACATACAAAGGGTCATTCTGTGCCATTATAGCTGCAGATTCCGTACTATTATATGGGATTAACTCTAATCCCCATACTTTTAATGCACTACTGATTACTTGCACTGAGAAATATCCACTGTCGTCCATGTTTCCTGATGGTTGCTAAGCAAAATAATTAATGCCCTTTACCACATATAATATTATTAGTATGTATTAATATTTCAAGTTAGAAATAAATTGATAAATACAATAAAATACTTGAAAAATATTATAATTTGTTATTATATTGTGCAATATATTGCAACAAAATATAGCTACAATATAAAATAGTTATAATACACAGATTCACCTCTAAGAAAAGTTTATATTCTTCACTGTCAACACCAGATTCTGCCATTCTTATCCTCTCTTCTTCATCCATTTGGTGACCTAAACTAGCAAGATCTACAGCATTGTAATAAGGTCCTTGTAAAAGTGCGTTTAAACAATGTTGTGCACATAGAAATCCTTCCTGCTGTAATAAACTTTCCCGTTAAAACAATTTACATTAGAAATACCATTAGGTACTTACGTATATTATTATTTACCTTCTCGTGAAATATGGTATCCATTTTATCAACACTTCAACGCAGTACGTGAGACATATAAATATTAAATATCAACCAAATCATACGTTGAAAAATCTAAAAAGATTCTATGATCAAACGTCACCCACAAAAATATTTTTTGGTTATAATCAGAAATATATCATATGCAGTTGGTGGTACTTTTAGACATTATGATTCACGTATATAGTATTGCCATCTTGTAACAGATTCTATAGTTGTCATATGATTATAACTAAATGTTTCTCATTCAAAATGTATTATTCACGCGTACTATTAATAACATATCTAGTTTCTTTTACATCGAAACTGAACTATATTATATAAAAATGATTTTTATGTGAAATCTCAGTCCGAATACAATGAAGAAACTTGGAAAAACTTGGCAAGACTATCAATGAATTTTAAATGAAATACGCGCCTCCAATGATTTATTTCAACATATGTAAATTTCATCTTGATACGTTATATAATGATATTAGTTGAACATCATTTTCTGATTGGTTGCGATACAACTAGTACATTATTCATCAGGACGTGCTTCAAGTTTCGCCGAGTGAAACCTTAAGCTAAGTACAGAGTGTTCTATAAATCTCATCAAAGGATAGGACAGAAACTTCAGGAGGAGCAGGGGTATCGGGGACTATAAAATAATTATTTAAAGACTCTAGGCCGAATTAGAGGTACGGACTGCTACCGAGGCATAGAAAAGTGTACGAACTATTGAATATCAAGTATATTAAAGAAGGCAGAACTGGGAAAGAGTGTGAGTGGGCGGGGGCGGCCATACTCAAACAACCGCCGAGCGAAGTGCGCGGCACAGCACAGAAATGAGGCGATAATAAATCGCATTGTACCGTTCGTAAACCCGGGTCGACGGTAACGGATGTAAGTACCTCCGTTGGAACATAAAGGGAAAGAATTACGAACAGAGAGCAAAGACGAGAAGAGTGGGAAGTGTAAAGAAAGAGACAAAAGCGGCCCGACGAGCCGAGGCGCAGAGAACGGTATGAGTGCAAAGACAGACGTGAACAGGCGAGTCCTAGCAATTCAGGCGAAAAAAAAAAGGCACAAGCCAAGTAAGCGAAAAGGAAAGGGAAATGCACAGGATGAATCAGAAACATCGGGAGCCCAATGCTCAAAAGCATCGGCCACTCAGCAAGGACAGGGATCGGGTTTCTATCAGGATGCTTCCTCGCAGAGACCATATTCCAGTGACAATGGAAACAGGTATCTGTGTTTCCTTAACATGTCATTTGATTCTACTATGTTGATGTTCTTTTTGCTGTCGTTTTGTCTTTACTCGGGTAAATTTTCTCCGATACGACAGGATATTTCTATTGAGACTCTTTGTCGAAGTCTTTTCTTTTTTTTCTTTTTTCACGTTTTAACATCGATCAGTTTTATCACTGAATGTCTCAGTGAAAAGTGATAGACGTTCGAGTGCAAATGCAATTCGTTGCATTACGTTACGTTTCGTCGTTGGATAATCTAACTTGAAGATCATCTCTTGTCTGTACCTATTCCCGTGAAAATGTTCGAGAACGAGTAGCCTTTTATTTTTTAATTCGTGTTTGCTCCCTACCGTTTTCTTGGCTGAAACTTACAGATTGGAACCATGTCATAGCTCAAGTAACGAAACGATGGAAGATGGTGATGAAATATACAGTAGTGAGGATGAAGAACAAGAGGACAGTAGTGATTATTGTAAAGGAGGATATCATCCTGTTAAAATAGGAGATTTATTCTTAAATCGTTATCACGTAACACGTAAACTTGGCTGGGGTCACTTCTCTACAGTTTGGCTCTGTTGGGACTTACAGGTATATGTCTGATTCTTAGGTAAAAGGGCTTTTTTTTCCTTTTTTTTTTTGTTCAATAATTTCATAAGTGGAATGTTTTAAAATGTGTCCTCCAGGATAAGCGATTTGTGGCACTTAAAGTGGTCAAATCTGCATCTCATTTTACTGAAACTGCATTGGATGAAATTAAATTATTAAAAGATGTGCGCGATACAGATCCCAGTGATCCTAAACGCAATAAAACCGTCCAGTTACTCAATGACTTCAAGATCAGTGGCATTAATGGTTTGCATGTTTGCATGGTATTTGAAGTGCTTGGGCATAATCTTCTTAAACTGATAATCAAATCCAACTATAGAGGAATTCCAAGAAACAATGTTAAACGTATCATCAGACAAGTTCTTGAAGGTCTTGATTATCTACATAATAAATGTAAGATTCTTTTAATGAAAAACGTGTTTGATATTTAATTGTATCAGATGATGTTAATTTGTGTCAATAGATTATTAATCTAACATAATATATATATTTGAAATGTTTAATATTATTTTCACTGAAATTAGCATAAAATATTTTTGTTTTCTAGGTAAAATCATTCATACAGACATTAAACCTGAAAATGTTCTTGTTTGTGTTGATGAAGCTTATATTAGAAAATTGGCTTGTGAAGCTACAGAATTACATTCACTTGGAATAAAGTTGCCAGTGTCTTTAATTTCAACTGCACCAAAGGAATTCCAAGAACCTACTCCTAATTCTAAAATGTCAAAAAATAAAAAGAAGAAGCTTAAGAAAAAAGCAAAGCGTCAGAATGAATTATTGAAGAAACAAATGGAACAAATAGAAGAACTTGAAGAGCAGGATAAACTTGCAAATAGCACAAGAGCAAATGGAGAATTAGAAACAAATAGTCCAGATCAAGACGTAAATACGGAAAGTATAGAAGATAATACTGAAAGCAAAGGTTCACCTGATATTTCAGAACCATCTGCACCTTCATTGCACATAAATGGTGTAGATAGTTTAACAGCTGAAGAGAAAGTAGAAAATCAATTACCTCAACAATCTGAAAAGATGGAAAATGCAAATTCGTGTGATGTAGAAAAGAATTGCGGTGAAGGAGTACATTTACCTGATCATGAAGATACTGACGAATGTAGTGAAGGTAATATTTACGGAAACTATATTATGTAGCTATAAATAATTAAAAATGACTATATGTATTATTTTTCACAGGTCGTAATTTACATCCACCTGAAAGTAAACAACTGAAAAGAGCATCTGTAGCTCCTTTAGATCCTGCCCTAGTAGAATGTGATGTTGAAGTGAAAATAGCAGATCTTGGTAATGCATGTTGGGTCCATAAAAAATTTACAGATGATATTCAAACTCGTCAATATAGATCATTAGAAGTATTATTAGGATCTGGATATGATACATCTGCAGATATATGGTCCACTGCCTGTATGGCATTTGAATTAGCAACTGGTGACTATCTCTTTGAACCACATAGTGGCAATTATTATTGCAGGTAAAGTATTACTTTTTTTAAAATAATTAATTAGAAATAATTGTTACTATCGTTATAAAAGACATTTTGCTTGTTTCTTGTAGAGATGAAGATCATTTAGCACACATTATTGAATTGCTTGGAGAAATACCAAGACACATTGCTCTTTCTGGCAAAAACTCAAAAATGTACTTCAATAAGAAAGGTGAACTAAAACGGATTACTGGATTAAAACCTTGGGGACTATACGAGGTGCTTACGGAGAAATACGATTGGTCACCAAGAGAAGCGCGCGAGTTTGAAGAGTTCCTAACTCCGATGCTAGAGTTTGACCCGAGTATGCGAGCTACAGCAGCAGAGTGTCTGAAGCATCCGTGGCTGAAAATCAAAAAGTGATCATTTTTTTTTATCGTTTTATCTTTAAATTCTTCAACTCTACACTTCTACCATCCTGATATAATTATACATAAGTCGGGAGTGTGACAAGAGGCAACGACTGACAATAGTCAGGTTCTTTCTCATTATATATGTAATTTTATTTTTGTGTGAGGAGTATATTGTCATTGAAAACGCACAGTATAGAGTTATTTAATATTTAATATTATAAAATGCAAAATCATTAAAAATGTGTTTTAGACATTATAATTTAGAAATGATTTTTACCTTTTTTAGCTGTTGGTAATTTTATGATTATCATTTACGTCCACGTGATTATGACTAATTTCATACAGCAAAAGGAGATATTTAATATTGGAACAAATTGGGAAAGAAAGAACTTGCTACATTCCATCAAATTCCAATAATTGCTGCAGTTGAGTATGCTTCTAATTGTAACACTCTCGACGATGGCTGCCTACTTGTGTATTTATAAATTTGTTAAATCATATTTTTCATTTAGTATAATGCTATCTTAAATTAAAATTTCGTAGTACTTTATTATTTTACACGGTCGTCGTTATATTATCCTTTACACTACTTGTCACTTAATTTATAAAATATCCCAAGAGTCATGGGACCCACTCATAATATACTTTAGGAAAGGGCAGGCCCATTTATATCTCATAATGAATATTGAAATTTCCATTAAAATACTTTTTTTAGATTAAATTGATTATCCAAAATTTACTGATAGCAGGTTTTTTCTCTGTGATCTCTCCTTGTGCTTAATTAGTGTGTGTTCAAGAAAATATAATAATCATTATTATTATTGTCTTGATACTGATTGAAGAAATACTCATAATACATACGCCGGAACGTGTGTTTAAGGAACTGAATCTTTGTACAAATTCGATAAATGCGGAAATACATATATTGTTAGTATAATTAAGAGTTGGTCGCCAGATTCTTGGTAAAACAATTGATTCGGAATAAGACAGTGCATACTTTATTCAGCTACAATAAATAAACCCGAAGAAAGATTTCGAACTTGTAGTAATATACAATAAGATTGTGATAATTATAAAGTTTAACTATCGTATGAGTAATAAACTTATGATTATCAAGAAACGAATTTGTAATGGAATTATTGCAAACGGATATACACTGTCGGATTTCGAACAACCAAGGCATTCAATATTTGTGGTATATATTTTCGTTCACTTTAATTTATTACATATTTCTTTATACTGCTGAGAAGGATATATCATATACATTATACATATTGTACAATTACGAAAAAGGGAGACTAGTTTCTACATCATGACTGAAATTTCGGTAAACGTAAAATAATCATGGTAAAGGAAATACAATGTTAAGTTCTGCGCGACCTTCTTTACTTCGAGCTATTGACTGATTATTAAGCTCTCTGCCGATAAATTGTCTTCTATTTTATAACGAAGATAGCGAAACAGTACGATTACTGATCATTCAACATCACAAATGTATTTGTACCGTTGAATTCTGTTTATGCTTCCAAACGAATGTTCTGTTTCGCTGTGTCTGCCAACTTAAAATCGTTTTCATTAGAAAAAAACATGAATAATTAAAGAGCATTTCGAATGAAATTGGTGGAGTTGCATATGAAAAGAACATTTATTATTAACTAAGTTTCATTAGATGAGAATATATTTATTCCGGGTAAAAGAGGAAAATAGTTACTTAAAGTAGGATATTTAAATTTAATTACGTTTATTTTATTTTCATTAAGTGTTTGTAAAATCGACGAATCTCTCGAGGAAGAGATTACTCTTTTAATCCACAATTCACTTTGACATTTAATATTCGTATTTTTAGAAATGATAGAAAAAAGGTATGGAATTGTTGATCCTGACTTTTACGATGTTTTAGAGAAATGTATAAATTAAGATCATAAGATTTGTTTAATCTTATTTCTCATTCTATGGATATCCTTAACGAAAAATGCCTCTTCTACCTGTACCGTATTCGATGAAATTCAAGCTTTTCATTTACATTGTCGTACTTGCTTAACTATCCCTGTGTAACCATGTGATCCCACCGTAATTATGAATTTGGGACTGATGATGGCAATCGTGTTGAATTTGTACAGTACGCAACCGAAGTTATTGTAGTTATATACACCGATATTATTTTGTAAAACGCGGCCAGTGAAATCCGGAAAGAATGCAGTAAATAACAAGGACACGGAGGAATTAACAATGGAAGAATGTTTTTTCCAAAGTACATCTTGAATTTTTTTGCATGGCCGTCCTTATAGCTGATGACTGGTAACCGATCATCGTGTGTTTGTATGTTATTAATGATAATTCCCGTTTTGATGAAGAACAATGTATAATACGATTGTATATTACCCAAACGAAGGACATCTTCAAGAACGAGTGATAACTTGCAATTACACAACAATCGTGTTGTATGATAAACGAATGATCGGTTTCTTCTTCTTCTTCTTTTTTTTTTTTTTTTTTTTTT